GTATTGCGAGAGGTTAGCGTCAGTGGATGTGTAAAAGAAATAAACGAGGAACTTCACATGTAAAATACATCACTTTACGTCTTTTCCATCCTCGATCAGTAAAAAGTGTATTTAAACTCAAATTGATCGCAACAAGTTCATTGTGCCATACTGAACAAAATATTCATTTCTATTCACTTTGGAAAGATTACGAGAGATAATCTTTCTGGTCTAGGAAGACGCATTATCTTCCCCTGTGTAATCCTGAGAATTCCAACCATTCCGACCCTCGGACGGCCCGGAGTGGAACTTTGGGAACCTGCGCGGACCTGTGCTTGCAACCCTTTCTGAAGTTGGCGCCTGGACCAGTCTCCGCCAGCCTACCGCCGAGGCGCCCCGTGAGCGCCCCCGTGCACTGCTAACGGTGGCGGCACGTGGCCCCCGCGGCGGTCAATATTTACTGGTTGTTATACTGTCCGACCCTGTTAGCCCGCTTTACGGGCGCTGGGCCCCTCGCGGCCCCTCGGCGATTGCTCTTTGAGTTACTCTCTCGGATTGAGAACGTGAGTCTGTCTGGGACAAATGTTTACTCGGGCCCTATCTCGGCATCAATTTCAAATAAAACTGTTTCTCTGCTGAGCCGCACGATGGCGGTGGTAGACAATTCAGTAAACACTTAAACACTAACAAAAATGATGCCTTTATTCGTTCCCAAAATAATGACTGATGACGTCACACGTCACAATTTTGAAGTTCAACGTAATAGTTTATCGGGTGTGGTTGATAAATTATTTCGAGGCGCATGCGTACATTGGCCGGGATATACGCGCATGGAGCGGGTACATTTTTGGACATTTTGCCCCTCAAATCACCATCCACATACTCCTTTTATTCACGGCCCAATTCCAGCGTACGCCCTACCCTACCCTCCCCGCCTCCTCTATTCAATTTTTTTCTTCCCTTCTCCGCCCGTCTGCCAGATCCGCGCCTTTCAGCGATATGCATATTTGATGCGATTTTAATGTCGGCCGCCACAGGCTGGCGCGGGGCGGCGCCATGCCCTATACATACCTCCCCTAAGCAGCTTACGGCTTTCATCCCGCGGCCCCCGCCGCCCCCGCGGCCCCCCTCAGAGCCGGGCCAGTGCCGGTAGCCACGCCGTATAGCTCAGGCCAACGCTATCTGTGCTGCATGGCCCTTGCCGATATCTGTTCTCTGTGCCAAAGACGCCGCCGACTGCGTTTTGTTCCAAAGACCACGCTCTTTAGTGCAAAACGCTCATGTATGCTGTAAAACATAAATTAAAATGGTACTTATTCTTTGACCAATAAAACTCGCGCATGAAAGGCTCAGGAGGGGTTTTTCTCATGCATGTGCCCTAGTTAAAGAACGTTTTTCCCTGGATGTACTCAAAGAGCTCGCACTGCTCGAGCTTGCCTCAGGGGAGTGATTCCTCTCCGGTTGATCGGTTTGGGATGCGCGTTCGATGGCGTCCCGGCTGGAGCCGGATGCGGCCCGTGATGACTCGGCTCCGGTGGCTCCGGTGTCGAGAGGGATGCCACAGGTTCCAGCTAATCTGTTCCGCTCACTCGCTGTGCAACACGGCTAAGGCCGGGCTCAAAGCCACGCCCTCCCCCGGCGGTGTCGGGTTGCAAGCCTGCGCTGGGCCCCACCGCTCGGCCCGCCCCACCCCGTAA